GACAGTTCGGGGTGACAACAGTTAAGGAACACCCACCTCGGGAATTTGACTCGATAGCCTAACAGCTCGGGGTAAGACAACCACTTCGGCAAAGGTAAATTGCATAAACACTTAGCAAAAAAGAATATTTCCCATTGCAAAATGCTTCATTATAGAAGTTCATTACAATATTTTCATTTCAAGTGTTCATCACAAAAAAAGAAAGAAATTGAGCTCGCAGGCTCAAAGTACAGACTAAAGGTGTGCATCCTCCTTGCTCGGAGCCTCCGAAGTGCCGAGCTGATCGGTGGTGGTAGCCTCATCATCACCCTCTGGATCGGAGTTCGGGTTCTCGGCGGCTAGCTTGGCTACTTCTCCCATAATCTACAAGGTGGTGATCATGTTCACATCAAGTTGCGGGAATTCGCACTTGATCAACCACCGACTAAGTTTGAAGCCTTTACGGTAGGCCTCCACCACCACAGCATCGAACTCTTCTAACTGGACATAATCCTGAACGGCCTTCGCCTTAGCCTCGTCTAAGGCACCGACAAGGATTTCAGTCTGCTCCTTGACGTCGGCCTTCAGGTTCTCCACTTCGCGCTCCAGGGTCACCTTGCCCGACTCGAGCTCCTTCACCTTGAGCAGTAGCTCTTCCTTCTCGTGAAGGAACCCCTCCTCCTTGCGCTGCAATCCTCCTTCCCTGACATTAACACTTGAATATAATTTTTCTGAGCGATGGTATCACTCTCTAGACGATGGATCTGACCGTGAGCTAGCTTCAAATCGGCATGAGCTTTGCGAGCAGAGTCTTCGGCAGCTAGAGCTCGCTTTAAGTTCCTGTCAGATTGAAGAGTGAGGGCACCGACGACACAGTTCACCTACCAAAGGAATGTCAGTTAGCACCGGTAAGGCAACGAATTGCAAAATTATTTAAGTTAAGAGACTCACCACCATAGAGTGGGTAGCCACCCGAGCTCCGAGCTGAGCAGGCGTGAGATCAGCCCATTCAGAGACCTCTTCAGCATAAGTAGCCCCCTTGCTCTTTCGAAGGCTGTTCTTGGTGTTCAGCACACTTCGGGTTGCATCCCCATTCCCCGACGTTGAGACGGCCATCTCAGGAGTGGGCTCCATACTAGCAGGCTCCGTAGTGGCAAGCTTCGTGGTTGAAGGCTCCATGGTGGTTTCGGGCTCTCGTAGGGGGGGGGGGGGTCTCCGACTCCTCCAAGACAATCACTGGAGGAGCTTGAGCGGGCTGCTCGGGCTCTAGGGTAAGAGCCAGAGGAGATTCAATACGAGCTCTCTTGGCAGCTCGCTTCTGTCTCTTCTTCATCTTGCCGAACAACTTCTTGGCGCTAAGACGCTCCATAGGACCTGCAACAGAGCTCGGCATCAGTAATGTCACTAAGAAGAAAGTATCAACTACCAAATATGCTAACTCTAAGACAAAGCGACCTACTGGGACTAAGACCAGCCTCAATAAGCTTCTTCTCGGTAATGAAGTCCTTGTAGTCGAAGTCGAGCTTCGCCCATGATTGGACTTTCTCCCTTGTGTCCTTGTCCAGCATAATGCCGGAGTCTTGAATGGCCACCCTCCAATGAGTAGGGAAGGGCCATCCCTTGAGGCTCCGAATTATGAAGTAATCCCATTTCCAGGCCGGTATTTTTCCAGGGAGATTATGTAGCAGCTTGTACCCAGGGTGGGGGGATAGGTAATAAGTCCTCCTGTGCTCAGGGAGAACGCTAGATGTGTTCTTCTTGATGGACAAGATTGCAGAAAAAATATCAAGGTCAAGTGGGAGGGCGTAGTCGGAATAGAGGGAGATGGTCCCGACCACATTCCGAATAGAGTTCGGGTGGAGTTGGTCTATGGTTACGTCGAAGTGGTTCAATACTTTAACGATTAAGGGGTGAAGAAGAAGACGGAGCCCAGCTATGAGCTGCTCCTTGAAGATCACGATCTCATTGCGACCATGTTCCCAGGGAAAGTTGCCCGCAGGGAGGTTGTAGGAGTATTCCTTGGGAAGGTAATACCGATCTATTAGGCCTCTAAGCTTGTCTACCGTCATGGTAGAAGGGCCGAACCGGTCTGGCATTTTGACTTGGGTAGAGGCAGACGCTGGGTTTCCTGAGGCCTCCCGCACCTCGTAAGTGGAGTGCGCCTCGGGGACACTTACATAAGCCGAGGTACCCACCTCGGGCTCATCCTAGGAGTTGAAGCTATGGTCTGGCATAGCTACGAACTGAATGGACTAAGGGAACTAGAGGCTAACTACAAAAGCAAAAGAACTGGAAATGAACTGAAGGAAAGGCTAAGGAGACTCACCAAGGAAAGAAGACCAAGCTAGGGAGATTGGCAAACTAGAGAACCCGAGCTAAAGAGCTTTGTCGCGACCTCCAGGCGTGAGTTTGTCAACTTATGGCAGAGAAAATGATGGGGGTCCCCCTTATTTATAGCTGCTATGTTCGGAAATCAACAGTCAAGATCAAGACGATCCAACGACTCAAGAAAACCGGTTGCGCGACCCCCAAGGTGAAATCGGTTTAGCGTGTTTTTTGGAATCCGCGGAGTCTATAAATCGCGTGAAGTCCGCGCGTGAACTTTACACGACCCGAGTTGTCTTCGATTGAGCCGGTAGCAAACTGGTCTATGCCGGCGAACCGTCTGACTTGGCGACCTGAACCTCGGGCTAAATCCACCCGTCCCACCATGAACTCCCCACATTGGGTCAAGACCCCTAGCATGGGGAGTTGGGGGCAATTGATGGAGGGTCATTCGGCCCGACCTCAAGATAAGCGGACACGTGGACATGACTTGACATAAGTGACACCTCGGCACGGAAACTCCGCTAAGGTCCAACGTGGCAGCTTGGCTACAAGACACTTCTCCGAGTGCCCCGAGCTCCGAGCTCCAATTCTCCTAGAGCAAACACTCCGAACTAAGGTCCTCCTGAGTCAGGGGTGTCCCGAGCTAAGGGCACCCCGTGACAAGTTCATTCCCAAAGTTAAGCGGAGCTCAAGAGCCCCACCTCGGGCAGAGGAACCTCGATATGATACCAGTAGCTCGGTGCGAGGTAGCTCGGTGAAGGGTAGCTTGGTACAAAGTAGCTCGGGACAAGAGTAACTTAGCGAATCACGAAAGGATTTCCTGCCTGACAACCGTACCCTCCGAATCTGCAGACTGCACCCACGTCTCTCGTCAGGCGACGATGTGCCTACCGACTCTGAAAGATGTCTCACGCCTAGTAGGGCCGTACTCTGCAATGGCTACCTGCGCCCACCACCTCAGCTCTGGTAGTAACGGTTGCAGCAGAGAGGCAGGGGTAGTTACGCCTGATTTGATAGAGGCGGTTATGCCTGATTGATAGAGTTTCAGCATAAAAGGGCCCCAACCCCCAAGGAGCAAGGGTAATTGCGAATTTAGCGCTCCTTCACTCTTAACTTCCTCTGCAATTCCTTCTATGTTTTCAGCTCTCTCTCTCTCTCAGTTCTAACTTAAGCATCGGAGTATTCCCGCTGGGCAAGCCCCCTGGGAATCCTTCATCTTCTCCATCTCTTCTCAGGTGCTTTGTTGCCAGGTAGGAGCGAGGCCCCTGCCAGGTAGGAATGACCGGATCGCACTACATCGCTTACCTTTAAAACCTTTATTGTTGCATTATTTAAATGGGTCCTTGAATTTGAACCAAGCTGGAAACCTTCCATTATTCCAGCCTGGGTTAGTTTTTTTACCTACCGATTAATTTTGTATATGTAGAAGGTCTACTTAGATTGATTGCTCTAGTTGAATTACTTTTGAAGTTTAATCAAGCCACTATAACCTTATCAAGAATTAAGGATGCATGGGTATGTGTTGAACTAGATCTTTTGAAACCTTCTCCCATAGGGTTTTGGAAATAGGTTCTCCATGAAAGCCTATTGCCTTATTTTGAAGTTTGCTACAATCAGCCATGTTGCAATAGAGTGAAAGAAAAGCAAGGAGAAAAGTGAGGGTTCCTTGAGGAAGGTTGATGATGCATGAAAGAAGATTAATTATAAAAAATTTCAGGCAAGAGACTATTGAGAATGTAAGCGGGTGGAAATAACAATAGAGACAGCTATTGTAAACCTTGATATAGGAATAGGGTTCTCTGGTCCTCCTCGTCTGATACTACATTAGAGGTTGATATACAAGTGAATGCCTTGAATGACTCTAATGTTGTAGAAGTCCAGTCTAAGTAGAATGACAGTGATGTAGAAGAATAGGAAGAGCAAGCAAATGAAAATAATGAGAAGCATTATAACATAATGAGAAACAAAGGTTACCACCCCCATTATTCTTATAAAGTTTTTTTCTTGTCTATTTTTGGCTTTTTGTATTAGGCTTGGGCTTGTAGTTTTGTTTTGGGGGTCTCAAGCCCCCCCTCTTTTTTGATCCTCAATAAAGCCTCTTGTTTCCTTTAAAAAAGAAAGACAAGATGAAAAATCAACCCAACACAAAGAATGCATATGCGAATTTCTATCATCTTTTGAATTATTATATTAAATAAGGATTCTATATTAGTTTTTCCCTTGAAAATCTAAACTACCTTACAAATCTTTATTCATTTCCTTCTTTAAATTTTAATTATTGTAGATGATAGTATATGAAATTTGTAACATGCAAGGCCCTTGCATGGAGATAGTTGATGAATCAAACTTAATAAGTCAATTAACTTAATAAATAATTCTTAATTTTTTATTAATTTAAATATTGGAAATTAATAAAATCTAATTAAAATTAATAGCATTTAAATAAATAAAAAATTATTTAGCAATTACCAATAAAAATAAATTTATAATAAAAATTAAAATCCATTTCAGTTCTTTGTAAAAGTAATAACGAATTAATAACAATTATTATGAACTTATCTAAATTAGGTGTGGCATTATGATCCCTTTCACTTAAAAGGAAAAATAAAATGAACAAGATAAGCTAGATAGGCTGGGGTGGCAGTTTCGTAAAGATCATCCATCCAATTTATACAATGTTTTTGTTTATGCAGGATGGAATGGACTTGGGCACCAATAAGTGGTGGTGGAGAACAGCCTTCAGCAGAAATGTATGGGCATCAATGTTTTAGAGATTGAGATCTAATATTGTTGCATTGAATTCTAAAGGGATAGTAGGGTTGAAGCTAGAAATGCATGCACATCGCTATAAACTATCCATTAATTAAATATCTCCTACTAATAGATGAAAAAAAAAGAGCTTTTCTAATTAACTTAATAACATAATTAAATATAACTGTTAGATTAAAAATTTAATAAATAAATAGTAAGTTTTATTAGATTAAAAATAATGGAAAATGATGGACGGTGATTTGACTCAACCTCCTAACTAGATGACACGTGGACATGACTTGACACAGACGACACATGGACGTGATTCGGAATAGACGACAGCTCGGCAAGTGTCAACTCACCACAAAGCGAGCTCGAGTACGTCAACATCCAGAGGTAGGGACACTTCGAGTCAAGTCTATCCTTGTTCGCGAACTGGAGCAATCAGCTCGCTCCAAGAGACATCTCAGGTGGAATCACCTCGGCACGCCGCCAGTAGCTCGTTACGGGGCAGCTCGCTACAAAGTAGCTCGCTATTGAGCGAATCAGAGTCTTTAGAAAGTTTCTTGTTTGACAAGACTGTACCCGCTAGACTGCTCCCACGTCCCTTGATTGGCGGCGCAGCACCTGCCAATCTAGAGGACTGCGCCCACGTCTCTCGCCAGGCGGCGTCGTGTCTGCCAACATTGAAAAACGTCTCTTATCTGACAGGACCGTACTCTACGATGGCTACCTGCGCCAATCAACTCATCCCTAGAAAATAATGGTTGCGGTAGAGGATCAAAGGCAATTACGCCCGATTTAACAGGGAATTTGTATATAAGGGTCCTAACCCCAAGGAAAAAGGGTAATTGCGCATCTTCACTCAGCCTTTATTTTCTGTGCAACTCTCTCAATTCTAACTTAAGCATTGGAGTGTTCCCACCGGGCGAGCTCCCCGAGAACCCTTCACCTTCTCCTTTCCAGGTACTTAGTCTGTTACCAGTTGGGAGCATAGCCCTACCAGCTTGGAGTGACCAAATCGCGCACCATCAATTGGCGCCGTCTGTAGGAATCGCTTCAAAAAGTCTTCCACCAAATTTTACAGACTTGAGTTTCCATGTCTTTCTCCAGCAACGCCGGACGCAGTGTAGAAATGAACACCGCCGGGGAACAACTTCATGTCCCAACGGTGTGCATTGGACAGTTCACCATCCCCCTCTCTGCGCATGGAGTTCCCATGCCTCGGACAATGGCACCCATGAACGCTCCACTCCCCTCCATAGTTGGAATGACCTTCGCCGAGCCCTCCATTGTCCCCCAGTGGCCGGCCAAAACCAGCTTGAAGACCTGGTGCAGTGCATGCGAGCTATGCAAGCTCATATGCAACAGGTTCAGCAGTTCCAACTATATCAGCAGCAAGTGCTGCACCAAGTTTATGAGCATCAGTACTAGCAGTAGTTTCCACCGCTGCCTCAGAACCAGTAGTAGCTTCCTCCTCCTCATCCGGCCGCACAGCAAGCCTGGCCTTGCCGTCAGAACGAACGTCCTTCTCGCCGGGGAGAGACCTCCCAGACCCAGAATCCTCTCAAGAGCCAAGTCTCGTCCCATGACAGGAAGGAGAGACCAGCCACCCCCGCCTCGCCGTGTGCAGTCAGGTCGGGAGGGCCCCAACCACCAGACCCGCATCACCTCGGTTCTCGGAGTTCGAGCTCCCGCTTGTGGAGAACCAGTTCAAGGTCCTGGCCACAGACTCCAGGCAAGGGCCCTCTATTCGTAGTCATCATCAGCAATTCGAACCACTCCCCGCGAAAACTATGCTTGACAATACTGAGGCCAGCAGCACCAACGTGGAGCCAATGAAGAAGCAACGGAGACGCCACCGAGCTCGCCGAGCCACAGCCCAGGATTTGCCCGAGCTAAAAGAAGAAGCGAGCTCGGGAGCAGTGAAAGCCGCTTCGCTCCTCTCTGTACCATCCCCTCTGTCTCCTGAACTCTTGGTTGTCTGAATGCCCAAGGACTTCAAACTACCTCCCCTGGACAAATATGACGGATCGTTCGACCTGAATGATCATGTAGATGCCTTTCAATCATATATGAAATTGCCAAGGGCGAGTGAGTCTCGCATGTGCGTAGCCTTCTCTACCACCTTCAAAGGAGTGGCCCACATGTGGTATAGGAACCTCGCGCCCGGGATAATAAAAAGTTGGGCACAATTCATGTAGGTCTTCACCTCCCACTTTGTCACCAGCAAAAGATGCCCGATAACCCAAGAAAGTCTCATCGGCATAGTCTAGAGGGAAGGGGAGTCTATCCGCAACTACATCAAGCGGTTTAATGACGCTTGTCTACAGATACCTAACTTGGACCCCGCAGTGGGCTCACAGTAGCCACGAGAGGCATAACGCACAAGGAGTTCAAGTGGCATGTAGTTGTCAACCGGCCTAAGATTATGACCGATTTCCTCAAGCTCGCGAACCAGTTCATAGGGACGGAGGAGGAGATTAACCAGAAGAACAAAAACTTTCCTAAGAAGAGGAAAAGAGAAGCTGAGTCCTCGGCCCATGGGGACAAGAAGAAGAAGAAAGACCCAGCTTGGGGAGGAAGGCCAGGTCAGCCTTTCTGGGCCCCTTCAGAAGAAAGGATAGACTACATACCTCTGAACGCGGGTCGAGATCCTCATGGCGATCAAGGACGCCCCGTATGTGAAGTGGCCGCCTCGACTGAGAGGGGCTCATCCGTCATAGTATCGAAAGTTGTAATTTTCATAAAGATCACAATCATAGTACCGAAAGTTGTAAGAAGCGGTGAGATAAAGGAGCTCATCCGTCGCGAATATTTAAGAAATTTTGTACAAAATGATAATAAAGCAGGACAGCAAGGGGAGAAAGGCAGAGATGCTCCCGCGTCCAGTAACAGACAAGGTGAGCAACTGTAGAGGCAGCCCCCCGAAGAGAGGCCAGTTTGGGGGACCATACACATGATCACCGGAGGATCAATTGTCGCGGGCTGCACCTCGGCCGCAGCTCGGACCTCGGCTCGTGAGATCGGAAGGGAAGAGCAAAACCCCCCGAAGTGGCCAAGGACAAAGGAACCGATCTTCTTCACTAAAGATGACATGAGCGAGGTCCACTACCCCCACGATGATGCGCTCATCGTGAAGATAAGGATCGGTGATTTCGAGGTAAAGCACGTCCTCGTCGACTTTGGTAGCTCGGCAGACATTCTCTTCAAAGCCGCGTTCGACAAGCTTCAGCTCCAAGAGAGCGACCTCAAGCCTGCGAGTACTCCCTTGGTGGGCTTCAGCGAAGAGAAAATCAGGCCCTTGGGGAGAATCACTGTACCCGTGGAGGTCGGCACTTGGCCTAGCATAGTGAGGCTCAACCATGACTTTTTGGTGGTCGCAACTCCCTCCCCGTACAACGCCATAATAGGTCGGCCCATCACCCATGCACTACATGCGGTGGTCTCCACCTATTATTTGGCGATGAAGTTCCCCACGAACTTCGGAGTTGGGGTAGCGTGAGGCGATCAACTCGAGTCTCACAAATGCTACGTCGCTGCTCTCAAAGGGAAAGCCAAGGTAGCAGATGACCTCGAGCTGGATCGACTTGTGGAGCATTGCGGAGAACGGGTTGCACCTATGGAAGAGATTGTTCCTGTGCCAATGTCAACAGAGGACCCAACTCGGACACTCCAGATCTGCGCTTTAGTCGAGGAGCCTCTGCAATCTCAACTAGTAAGTTTCTTACTTAAAAATTTAGATGTTTTTGCATGGTCCGCGGCAGAGATGCCCGACATAGACCCTAGTATCATCACTCACAAACTAAACACTGATCCTGTAGTTAGGCCTGTTAGACAAAAGAAATGCAACCTAGCCCCACAACGTTGGAGAGCAGTTGACAAGGAGGTTGGGAAGCTCCTCGCAGCCGATTTTATTAGAGAAGTCCATTACCCGAATTGGGTGGTCAACCCCGTTCTAATAAAAAAGGCTAATGGTAAATGGCGCATGTGCGTCGATTACTTGGGCTATAATCATATCAGAATGGACCCTACTGATGAAGAGGAAAACAACCTTCATAACCGAGCTAGGCTTGTACTATTACAAGGTCATGCCCTTTGGCTGAAAAATGTCGGGGCTACATTCCAAAGACTTGTGAACAAATTATTTGAGCCATTGATCTGCAAGAAAGTAGAATGCTATGTAGACGACATGGTCGTCAAAACTCAGTTTTCAAGTGATTTAATAAAGGACTTACATTCTGTCTTTGAAATCTTGTGTAAATTTAATATGAAATTAAACCCAAACAAGTGTGTTTTCGGTGTCACCTCGGGTAAATTCATAGGGTACATCGTTAACCGACGTGGCATTGAGGCCAACCCAGATAAAATTAAGGCTATCTTAGATATGAGACCACCCCGGAAATTGAAGGATGTTCAGAGGCTGAATGGTCTTATAGTTGCTCTGAGCCGCTTCATGTCTAGATCAACAGATCGTTGTTTGCCCTTATTTAAGGCTATTAAAAGCAAAGGCTTTGAATGGACTGATGAGTGCCAGCTCGCTTTCGACGAGCTCAAAAGGTACCTCGCTAGTATCCCAGTCTTAACCCGACCTGAGGAGGGTGATATTTTGGAGCTGTACCTATCCGCAAGTGACGAGGTGGTCAGCTCGGTACTAATAAGAGAAGTAGATCGGGTCCAACGACCTATCTACTATGTTAGCAAAGTGTTGCAGGGGGCAGAGATCAGGTACCCGGAGATTGAGAAGTTAGCATATGCACTAGTCGTCGTAGCTCGGAAGCTTCGACTATACTTCCAAGCTCATACGATTGTCGTCCTCACCAATAAGCATCTGAGGCAAGTCTTGCTCAAGCCCGAGGTCTCCGGTAGGTTGACGAAGTGGGCCATCGAGCTCAGTGAGTACGACATCCAATATAAGCCCCGAACTGCTATCAAGGCCCAAGCCTTAGCTGACTTTGTCGCAGAATGTACTTTCAGCACCGAGGCCCCTGAATTAGCCGAGCTTGAGCGCAGTAAGGAAATTCCAACTAGTGCAGCATCTCTCGTGGTTAGACAGAACTCGACCTAGGATGAGGAGCCATGGATCCTCCATGTAGATGGCTCGTCAAATCAGCAGGGCAGCGGGGCTGGAATCGTTCTGTACGGGCCAAGCGGCATGAAACTGGAGTACGTGCTACGCTTTGAGTTCGCTGCATCCAACAGTGAATTAGAGTACGAGGCATTGATAGCTGGGCTAGCCTTAGCGAACGAAGTAAAATCCAAGCACATCGTCATCTGTAGTGATTTCCAGCTCGTGGTCAACCAAGTCACGGGTGAATACGAAGCTCGCGAACCAATCATTGTCGCCTACTTAGCCAAAGTCAGAGAGGCTCTGCTCAACTTCCAATCCCACTTCATCAAGCAAATCCTGAGATCTGAGAATGCTGAGGCCGACGCCTTGTCCCAGTTTGCCAGCACAAGTGATAATACCCTGAGAACCATGTACATAGAGAACTTGCCTCGGCCTAACATTCTCGGGGGGGCAGAGGAGGTTGCTCCTGTCGAACAAGCAGAGCCGAGCTGGATTGATCCACTCGCGAGCTACCTGCTACACGGGACCCTCCCTGCGGATTGTAATGCTGCCAGAAGGGTAGAGCATCAGGCAGCCAAATACGTCATAATAGACGAACGGCTGTACCGAAGATCTTACATGCTCCCCTATCTGTGATGCTTGCGACCTTTCGAGAACGAGCTCGTACTCCACGACACTCATGTGGGCCTGTGCGGTGGACACTTGGGGGGCAAAGCTCTCGCCCAGAAAGCACTACGACAGGGGTATTACTGGCCAACATTGAAGGCAGATGCGATCAAACTCGTCAGAAGGTGTGATAAGTGTTAGAAGCACGCCAACATCCACCACCAACCTACTGCCGACTTAAGGTATCTCACCAGCCCGTGGCCCTTCGCACAATGGGGGATCGATATACTCGGACTATTTTCGCCAGTGATTGGGCAAATGAAGTTGTTAGTATTGGAAGTTGATTATTTTACTAAGTGGGTGGAGGTTGAACCTCTTGCAATGATCACAATGCGAAATGTGCAGAACTTCTTTTGGAAGAACATAGTGTGCCATTTCGGGTTACCCCGAGTACTCATCTCTGACAACGGCAAGCAGTTCGAGGACATCAAATTCCAGAACTGGTGTAAAGATATGGGTATCCAACAAAATTTCACCTCGGTGGCGCACCTTCAAGCAAACGGCCAAGCGGAAGTCACAAACGGAGCCATTCTTCGCATACTGAAGGCACGCTTGGACCGAGCTAAGGGACTATGGGCAGACGAGATGCCCAGCGTACTATGGGCCTATTGAACCATGGTGAAAACCACAACAGGCGAGACCCCCTTCAGTCTCACTTATGGCACCGAGGCGGTGGTCTCAGCTGAGATTGAGGTTCCCACGTTACGTCTAGAAGTGTTCAACGACGAAGTAAACGAAGATGAGCTCCGCACCAACCTCGACCTACTTGACGAGGTACGCGATCTTGCATACTTTAGGACCGCGGCTTACCAGCAGCGAGTAGCTCGGTATTATAACGCCAAGGTCAAGAAGCGGAACCTCCACGTTGGAGACCTGGTTCTTCGTAAAGTTATGATACCTGAGCCCAGTGTCGGTAAGCTCGGACCAAATTGGGAAGGACCCTACCGAGTAAAGCGGGTGCTCGGGGAAGGAACGTACGAGCTCGAAACCCTAGAAGGAAAGCAGGTACCTCGAGCATGGAATATTGTCAACTTAAGACTATATTACTTGTAATTACCTAGGAGAGCAGACTATAAGTCACTCTTCCAGCCTAAGGGCTAAAATGCCGAGCTAACGAAAGACCTCGACACTCTAAGACCCAGTCGCCTCTTCGGCATGGGCGAACTCTAGGAGAGTCAACTATAAGTCACTCCCCCAGCCTAAGGGCTAAACTGCCGAGCTAATGAAAGACCTCGGCACTTTAAGACCCAGTCGCCTCTTCAGCATGGGCGAACTCTAGGAGAGTGGACTATAAGTCACTCCCCCAGCCTAAGGGCTAGAATGCCGAGCTAGCGAAAGACCTCGGCACTCTAAGTCCCAGTCACCTCTACGGCGTGGGCAGACTAAGCTTGGTAGCCTAATGGTTTAGGGTAGCTCGCGTAACTCGAAACGATTCTTACTTTAGGTTACCCTTGCTTGTTGCCAGCTCGGCAGCTTGATAGATCAGGTAACCTACCTACATGACTTGAATCAAGAAAGAACCGTTTTAAGCGAAAACAAATACTTCATTAAAAACAAAAGGTCCTTACCAAAACAAAAAACAGGCCAAACGACCCGGGAAGACACATCAAGAAAGAAAGAAAAGAAGAGAAAACCGGGCACAACCACTTGGGAACACCCACTCCAAGATCTAGAAGAAAAAGAAGAAAAAACCCAGCATCATGGATCCACCACCTCCACGCCCTCGTCAGTCTCCTCCAGGGAGTCAGGCTCCTCCTCCTCCATGGTGTTTGCAGTCTCCGGGGCCAGACCCTTCATTGTGATGCCGTCGAGACTAAGGCCGGAGAATCAAAAGGTGTTATCCCAGCTTGCAAAAAAAAAAGGGAAGGAAGAAAGACCTAAGGGTGACCTATCGGGGCTCAGGCCGGCCTGCACGAGCTTGTCCTCAGCCAAGTAATCCGAACAGAGGAAGCAAACCGCCGCCCAGGACTACAGCGTTTCCCGAACCTTCGGGTCCAACCTAACACCCGAATCCTGAATGGCGCCCCTCCAGTGGGTCGGAAAGGGCCACCCCTCGGGGTTGCGAACTACAAAATAACCCCGCTTCCAGGGCGGGATCTTGTTGGACATCTCGTGGAGAAGCTTAAAGCTAGAACAGGGGGAAAAATAATAAGAGCGCCTATCTGGAGGGGCTTCGGGGGAGGCATTCTTAATGGACAAATGTAAGCAAAAGTGTCGAGAGATAGAGGAAGACAATACTCAAAGAACAAAAAATAGTTCCCACCAAGTTCCGAACAGAGTTCGGGTGCAATTGGTCTATGGTGACGTTGAAGTGGGTGAGGACCTCCACTATTAAAGGGTGCAGAGGGAGCCGAAGACCAGCCATGAGCTGCTTCTCAAAAATCATGATCTCGTCTTGATCGTGCTCCCAGGGATAGTCGCCGGTTGGGAGGCTATAAGTGAGCTCCCTATGGAGATCATACTGGAAAACCAGGGCCCGAAGTCTCTCCATTGCATGGAGGAAGGGCTGAAGCTATTTATAAATTAATTGTTATTAATTTATAAATAAAACTAATTTATTAAAAAATTATTAATAAAAATAAATTTGTTAGTAATAATAATTAAGAACCATTTATATTTCGAAATTGTAAAAAAATTAATAACAATTAATACAAACTTATTTAACAATACATAATAAAAAATTAATGCTTAGGTTGGACTCTATCCAATCTTGGCCTCCTTAAGAATGCCATAACTTTCCTTTTCTTTTGATTAATTTCACTGAATAATATAGTATTTAAAGAACTAATGTATAATAAATAATATAGTAATATAGAATTCATATACTAGTTTAATGACTAATACAAACATAATGTTTATACTAATACACTAATAATTAATAAACACCTGGTAGAAGAATACTATAAAATCTTAATAAATAAGTTAATTGATACTAATTTTGTAGAAAAGTCAGGTGTGACATTATTTATAATCCCTTCCTTTTGAAAGGAAAAACAAAAAGAAGAAGATAAAGCTAGATAGGGTGGGTGACAGCTTGATAAAGATTACTTCATTCAATTTCTACAATGTTTTTGTTTATGCAGGACGGAAAGGACTTGTGCACCAATAAGTGACTATGAACCACCACCTCGAGAGATGTATGGATATCAACTTATGAAGGAAAGAATTCCGATGTTATTGCATTGAATTTTAAAGAGATGGTTGGGTTATACCAAGAAATGAATACACGCCACTACAAAGTATCCATTAATTAAATATTTTCCAACAATCGAGCCTTGGTGAAAATAAAAAGGAATTTTTATTTAACTCAATAAATTAATTACATATAATTAATTAAACTTAATAAATTCATTAACTTAACAAAAACTGAAACAAAGTATTAATATAAATTAATAATGATTAGTAAACTTTTATGAATTTAAAAATAATTGAAATATAAAAATATTAATTAAAAATAATAAAAAATTATATAATTAAAAAAGAATTATTTAAAAATAATTAATAAAAATTAAAATCTATTTTAAGTTCATTATAAAGTATTTAAAATATAATAGCAATCAATGTGGATTTATTTAAGAACATATAACCCATAAATAATGTTTTGGTTGGACTCTATCCAACTTGACCTATTTGGTAATGCCATAAAGCTCCTTTCATATCAATTTTACTTACTAATATATCATTTAGAAAATTAGTGTGTAATAATTAATATTGTAATCTAGATTTTATATACTATTATAATGATTAACACAAATATAGAATTTATACTAATCTATTAGTAATTTAACACATACCCAATTCCCAATATAAGAACACATAATAGAAACTTAACAAAGAAATTAAAAGATTTTAATTTTGTTGCCAAATTAGTAACAACATATTTTATGATCATTTTCATTTGCAAAGAAAAAACAAAAACTATGAGATAAATTTGGACTAGGTGGCTAATAGTTTGTTAATTAAAAGTATTCATTCATGGATTTGGGCAATTTGTGCAATGCTTTTATTTATTGTAGGATGGAATGGGCAGTTTGTTAAAGAGTATTCATTCATTCATGGACTAGGTGGCTATGAGATCAATTTGTGCAATGCTTTTATTTATTGTAGGATGGAATGGGCTTGGGCATCAATCATTGGAATTGGACCATCACCTCCAGAGAGGTATGAGCATAAATTTATAATGGAAAGAATTTTATATTATTGCATTAAATTCTAAAGATTAGTAAATTGTTGTTAATTTAAAAATTGGTGAATATCAGAAGTGCTTGATCCTTGCTAGCAATGATGCTCTAGAGTTCAATAGGGATTTATAGTAGACGAATCTGCAAAAAACAGTGTTAAAGGGCCCAAGTGAAACTCCGATGCTTATGTCAATAAATGTTGAGGTCTCTGAGGTGATAGGGTGCAATAACAAGAATCACAGAGTCAAAGTCAGAATACATACATTTGGAGGGTGGCGACTTACACATATATAGACCTCAAGACTCGATTGAAACATGGCAAGAGGGGCAAGCTAGGTGGCCACTGGCCAACATGTTCGACAGTTGATGCACATCAGCTGTTTAGCCCATATAGCCAAGGATTAAAATATCGACAGTTGATACGTCCCGTATCGCGCATATCGTATCGGTATCGGTAGGGGAAGATACGGGATATGCCACGACTGAAACTGTATTATGTTACATCACTGTATCGGTGCATATCGCAATGTATCGACTAATAAGCACCGATACAAAGGCGTATCGAACTAGTGTATCGCACAGAAAAGAGCGATATAACGTTCACTAGAAAAAACGATTCAAGCGCGATTAGATCCCTAAAAACCGAGTCGGGCTAGATCCAAGAGTGCAAGGATCTTAACAATTAAGTCACCTTCCATTTCGTGATAAAAAATGAAATAAATTTTCTTTTATTGAAACAATTATCACATTTAATCTACACAGAGTATATTCCATAACTCCAATTACAAATTATGAAGAATAATATTTAAAATTATTATTTTATAAACCTATAAAATAAATAATTTATCAAATCCAAAAATATATAAATGATTTTTAATTTCAATATATTTATACACATAAAAATAATATTAATAGAATAATTATTTTAATACTTAGAATTATTTATGTAGCCTTGATAAATTATCATAACTATTTTATAAATTATTAATTAATATTTCAATTTGCATTAAATAACAATGTATTTATTATTACAAAGATAAAATATTGTTTACAAGATATTTGAGAATATAATATAAATTGAATATATCAAATCCACTAATCTACATTTAAATAAAAATTAATTTTTATTTTAAAAAATTCATAAAAATAAAAAATATTAATAATAAATAATTATTTTAGTAATTAAAATTTATGAATTTTCATATGATATGCATCTTCGAAATTTCATTTACATTTTATACAAACATATTTATTGTTTACAAAAGTGAGTATTATTTAACATTTTCAAATTAATTTTTAGTTGATTTTTTGTTGATGTTAAAAATTGAAATATTAAAATAAAAATAATTGATATAATAATTCAAATATAATGGTGGAATATTTTTTTGTGCCTTGGATTTTAATAAAAATAAAAATTGATGCATTATCAATAAAATTGTATAATATCTGTACATCCCGCTATATCGATAATAATATATTTCTTTTGATATACCATTAAAATATACAATTCCTATGTATTTATATGTTATCTATAGTTATTTTGACATTAAACTTGAAATTATTAATATAATTATTGAATTTATATGCATTTCCTTAGTGTATTCAAGCATTTTTATATTTTTCATCTGTATCCATACGTTTCTCAAGCGTATCCATATCCGTATCCGTATCCAAATTGTCCGATATAATACCCAATACTGATACTTTAATCCTTGCATACAACACATTTATGAATGTAGGGTGACTTTATCCACTTCCTCGTGAAGCAGAGGGAGTGGGCTTCTATCGGTGCTAGGTGGCCCCGCATTTGCATACAGCTTAGGCTAGCCATTTCATGTGGACAAAGATGGAGAGGGCTCTCCATGTAAGACTCTCACCTTAACAATGACACTTTTCAAATCTTAATTTTGGAATTTATAAACAATCATCAAATAGACAAATTCTAATAGAAGGTGGAAGTGAATCTACCCTATTAAATATGTAGCATTACAAAACATGACAAGCAAAGTTTGGCAAACTATTATCCACCAATGCTTTCTCTTATAATATGAACAAACTCAATAGACATTTTTTAAATGCAAGCATACACTTGGTCTAGGAGATACAAAATATTCCAAGGGAGGGATATACCATTAAGGATATTAAAATATTACTATTAATTTACTAATATTAATAATTTAACTCGCACTCAGTTTCTCATAAAAGAACACAACAAAAACTTAAGTAAATAAGTTAATCAATGTTAATTTTATTGCTAAATTATGTGTGACATTATTTATAATCCCTTACCTTTACAAAGAAAAAAAACAAAGAATGCCAAAAATAAGGAGATAAATTTGGACTCAATATGTGACAATTTGGTAAATATTATTTATCCAAATTGTATAATGTTTTTCTTTATGGAAGATGGAATGCAATTTGGCACCAATGGGTGGAAGCAAACCACCATTTCTAGAAAAGTATGATCCTCAAGTTATAGGAAATGAATTTTAATGTTGTCTACAATAAATTCTAAAGGGATGGTAGGGTTGGAATGAGAAATTTTCATTGTCATAAAATATCTAGTAATTAAATATCAACAACTAATCCAGCTTGGAACAAAAGTAAAGAAAGAGGGTTTTTTATTTAACTTAATAACTTAATTAAATACAATTAGTGTAAAGTATTAATAAAACTTAATGGATAATTAGTAAACTATTATTAATTTAAAAAATAATTGAAATTAATAAAGCCTATTGAAAAAAAATAAAATTAGTACAAATAAAACCAACTTATTTAGCAATTATTAATAAAAGAATTTATAAGTAAAAACTAAAATCTACTTTTGCTCCTTGTATAAATAATAAAAGTTCAAAAACAATTTATACAAATGTATTTAACATTAGATAACCCAAAAATATTTCTTGGGTTTGATTCTATACAAAATGGGCTATTTGGGAATGCCATAAGACTCCTTTATGCCACAATTTCACTTAGTAATATAGCATTTAAAAGATTAGTACATATTAATTAGTTTAGTTATATAGAATTATTATACTAGTATAATGATTAATACAAATATAGAACTAATATTAATATACTAATAATTTTTTAAGCTCCAAAATTTCTCCAACTGGAGGGGCAGTCACCTTAAAATTTTATTGCAATTAAATATGAATATCATAATTGATTCCAAATCTAGTTTATAAGATCCAATCAAATCTTCAGATTGGACCCATAGTTTTTCAGATCAGATTTAGGTATACCTTGATTCGAATCCAATGTGATCCATTTGCATCCCTACTCTCAACCATGAGGTTCTTTTTGCCTCACTTTCACTTAGTAATATTTCTTTTAAAAGATTAATATATAATAATTAATATGCTAATATAAAATTAATATAATAATATAATGATTACCACAAGTATAGAATTCATAATAATACACTAATAATTTTTGAAACCCTAAAATTTATTCTAGGTAAAGGGGCTACCACCTTAAAATTTTATTGCAATTGAATAGAATTCTTATAAGAAGTACAAGGAGGGCATAACCTACCTATCCATGACACCATCAAATTCTTATTTTTGGGATATAGAAAGAGTTATCAAATAGATAACTTCTAATAGAAGGTAGAAGCAAAGCCGTCCTGTCAAATATGTTGTAGCACAAATCATCACAATAAAAGTTTGCCAAACGATCAACCAATATGTTCCTTTCTCTCGGAATATATGCACAAACTCAATAGACATATCTTAAATGTAGCTAATCACCTAATCTAGGAGATACAAAATATTCAAGTGGCATGGCATACCATGAAGGATTTTAATATACTAATACATTAAGATTACAAATATACTAATAGTTTAACTTGCGCTTGATTTGTAAAGAAAAACACAATAGAAACTTAAATAAAAAAGTTAGTCAATTTTTGTTTTTCTGCTAAATGAGATGCAACATTATTTATGACCCCATGCCTTTGCAAAGAAAAATAAAAATAAGTAGATAAGTTTAGAGTAGGAGGATAATAATTTGGTAAAGTATATTCATCTATTTTGTGCAACAGTTTTACTTATGTAGGATGGAATGTAGTTGGGCACCAATGGATGGCAGTATACCACCATATGTTGTTTTATTAAATTCTATCATGATGGTAGGTTGGACCTTGAACTATACATTTCCATAAAATATCCATTAAGTAAATATCCACACTAGACTAACCTTGAACAGAAATAAGAAACAATTTTTTTATTTAAAATAACAACCTAATTAAATATAATTATTTAAGATTAATAAATTAATTAGATGAATAAAAACTACACCATGTATTAATAAATAATTAGTAAGTTGTCTTTAATTTAAAATTAGTGTAAATTAACAAAAATCTAATGAAAAGATAATGAAATTTATATTAATAAAACAAATTATTTTGAAGTTAATAATAAAAGTGAATTTATTAATATAAATTAAAATCCATTTAAATTCCATATAAAAATAATAAAAGCTAACAACAATTAATATGGTTTTATTTAACATTATAACCAAAAAATATTACTTGGTTTAACTCTATCTAACTTGGCCTACTTGAGAATGCCATAAGGCTCCTTTTGCCTAAATTTTGCTTAGTAGTATAACATTTAGAAGATTAATATATAATAGTTAATATAGTTATACAAAATTAATATACTAGTATAATGATTAGTATAAAAACAAAACAACCCCAAAATTTAATCCAAGTAGAGGAAAAACCACCTTAAAATTATATTGAAATTAAAGAGAAGTATAATGAGTACGGGGGAGGGCATAGCCCGCCTTGAACAAAACTCAATACAAAAACAGTCTAAAACTCTTAACCATATTGCCCTTTTTTCCCCAATTTCACTTAGTGAAATAGCTATAGCTTTAGAAGATTAATATATAATTAATATAGTATATAGCTTTAATATACTAGTATAATGATTTATGCAAATATAGAACTTATACTAATATAGTAATAACTTTTTTAAACTCCAAAATTTACTCTATGTAGAGTGGCTACCTTAACATTTTATTGCAATTAAATAGAAATATTATATGTAGTACAAAGGAGGGAAAATTTTTCCTTGTCCTAAACCCAAAGAAAGAGCACACTCTAAACTCTCAGTCTAACCATGACACTATGCAATTCTTAATTTTGAGTTGTAGAAATAGTCGTCAAATAGACAATTTCTAAAAGAAGGCAAAAGTGAATTGGCCCCTAACAAATATATTACAACACAAGACATCACAAGAAAAGTTTGCTAAACTATCAACCACTATGTTGCCTTCTCTCAAAATATGTAAAAACTTAATAGACATATCTTCAATGCATCTATACCTAGGGGTGGGATATACGATTAGGGATATTAATATACTAAGATACAAATAATTTCACTCACACTTGATTCTTGATAAGAGAGCACAAAAGAAGCTTAAATAAAGAAGCTAATTGGTCACAGATTTGTAACTAAATTAGGAGCAATGTTATTCATGATCCCTTGCCTTTCCAAAGAAAATCAAAAAGTAAAAGAAAAAAAAAATGGAGATAAATTTGGACTAGGTGGACAACAATTCAATTTATAATATTCATCTAATTTGTACAATGCTTTTGTTTATGCAGGATGGGATATAGTTGGACACCAACTGGTAGTGGTGGGTCACCATCTTTAGAAAGGTATGAGCCTCAACTTGTTAGGAAAAGAATTTTAATATTGCTTCGTTTAATTTTGAAGTGAAGGTAGGGTTGAACCGAAAAATTTGCATTACCATACCATTAATTAAATTTTCACAACTAATATAAACTTCAATGAAATTCCACAAATAATTTCTTATCTAAATTAATAACTTAATTAATTATAATTATTTAAACTTAATTTAATTAAATGAATAAAAATTAACACATAGTATTAATAAAAATTAAGAAATAATTAGAAATTTGTTATTAATTTAAAACAATGTAAACTGATAAAACCTAATGAAAAATAATAAAATTTATATAAGTAAAACAAACTGATTTTTCAATTACTAATAGAAATGAAAATCAATTTAAGCTCCATGTAAAATAATTTAAATTAATAGCACTGATAAAAAATTTATTTAACATTACATAACCCAAAAATATTGCTTGGGTTTGATTCTATCAAGTTTAGCCTACTTTGGAATGCTAAAAGGATCATTTTGCTTTAATTTCACTTACTAATATAACATCTAGAAGATTATTATATAATAATTAATATATCATACACAATTACTATACTAGCTTAATGGTTAATAAAACTATAGAACTTGTACTAATATACTAATAATTTAGTCCAAATGGAGGGGCGACCACCTTAAAATTTTATTACAATTAAATAGAAATATTATAAGAAGTATGAGGAAGGGCATAGCCCACCTTTCCCTAATTAACGCAATACAAGAGCATACTCTAAAACTCCCGGTCATAAGGCTTCTTTTACTTCAATTCACTAAGTAATATGGAATTTAGAAGATTAATATAAAATAATTAATTTAATTATATATAATTAAAATACTAGTATAATGATTAATACAAATATAGAATTTGTAAGAATATACTAATAATTTGATCTTTTAAAACTCCAAAATTTACTATAGGTAAAAAGGAGTAGAAGGGAGGGCATAGCTTGCCTTTCCACAAACTCAATACAAAAGCACACTCTAAAACTCTTAGCCCAAACATGATACTATTTTGTTCTTAATTTTGTGATATAAAAAGGAGTTTTCAATTAGACAACTTCTAATAATAGTTGGAAGTGAACCCACCTTTAAGGTATATGGCTCAATTTACCTCAATTTTACTTTAATTTGTAGGTAATACAGCATTTTTAATATATAATAATTAATATTGTTACATAGAATTAATATACTAATAAATTTTTTAACCCCAACGTTTACTCTAGGTGGAGATGCAACCACTTTAAAATTTTGTTGCAACTAAATAGAAATATTATGTTAATATACAAAAACACACTCTAACATTACAAACATTACAAACCATAATTGAACAAAACATTACACTACCCAACTCTTAATTTTGGGATATACAAAACATTACAAACAATGTTTACTAAACCATCATCCACTATGTTGTCTTCTCTCAAAATATGCACAAACTTCGTAGACGTGCCTTTGGTGCAACAATACACCTGATCTAGGAGTTTCAAAATATTTCAGGGGTGGGATATACATTTTGGATACTAATATACTAATAATTGAACAACACTAAATTTCTGATGAAAGTATTCTACAAAAACTTAAATAAACAAGTTAACCGGTGCTAATTTTGTTGCTAAATTAGATGCAACATTATTTATGATCTCTTGCCTTTGCAATGAGAAACAAAGAAAAAAAATTAAGGAGATAAGTTTAGTTTGGACGGGTGACAATTTGGGAACTATTATTTAGCCATGCTTTTGTTTATGTAGGATGGAATGCGGTTGGGCACCAATGAGTGGTAGTGGACCACAAACTCCAGAAAGGTATAAGCCTCAACTTATCAGGAAAAGTATTCAAATGTTGATTCTTTAAACTCTAAGCAGAGTTTAGGGTTAGAGGTTGGATAGAGAAATATGCATTAATTGACATACAATACCCATTAGTTAAATATTCACCAGTAGTTTGAGCTTGAACAAAAATGAAAAAGGAGTTTTTATTTAACATAATAACTTAATTAAATATAATTAGTTAAACTTAAAAAGTATTATTAAGTTAATTAACTTAATAATATTAACACAAAGTATTAATAAAAATTGATAAATAGTATACTTTTATATAATTTAAATATAAAGAAAACTAATAAAACTTAATTAAAATAACATAAAATTTATTTAACAATTAATAATAAAAATAAATATATTAGTAAAGATTAAAATCCATTGAAGTTCCATGTAAAAAAATAAAAAGTTGTACGATAATAACATGAAACTATATCTAGTGTGAGCACCCATTTTTTGTTGAATCCTTCATCCTACCTCCTTATACCCTCTTCTAAGACCCCAAAACTTGAAAACATAATTAAATTAATCTAGGACTTGTCAAAACTCAAAATTTCCTCTTTACAGCACAATCCCTACAACAAACAGTTGAATAAAATATAGTAGTAAACTTCAACTTTAATTAAGGAGAACATTGAAATTAATATTTGATACTACATAGGGTTTAGTACCCTAGTGGAATACAATCCCTAGATTTGGAAACTAAAACTTAGTTATATGTTAAATTTTGTGACTAACTTTCTTTTTAATGGTCTTAACCTAAAGGATATTAAGATATGATCAACCTCCCAAATCCTGTCTCAAATCTATAATGGTCAACCATAAAAATCCGAAGATTCCATTTTGACAACCTTGGATGAATAAAAGACTAGACAACCAAAATCAATAAATTCTTTCTCATATGTAAAACCTTCCACTTGACTCATCTTAATCTATGCCTATATGCTAAATTTCAACTTAACTCTCCTTTGTTTAATTGTTTAATTAATAAAGATTCCAATTTGATGCTTATAATTAAATTACACAATAAATTATAATCTAGGAAACCAAACCCCTCTCATTAAGTCCAAAATTCTCTAAATAACTCACCCATCTTAGCACTGAATTCCTTCATTTTCTTCTAAAGCAATCAAGATTCCTCTTTAAGCCTTTTCATTGATGGATATACTATAAACTAAAACCTTAATCTGATTTAAATCTTTCAATCATTGATTGATAAGATAGAAGCCTTTTCATTCATCCTTAAATCTTTCAGCAAATCTCATTGATTAGAGCTTATTAGTCATAGATCTCTATCATTCAAGCCTTATTTAACTAACGAAACCTCACCACCATGATCAAAGACCCAAAAGACCTTAGTATGCTAAATTCCATGACCTAATTCACTTGTTTGAGTGTTAAAATAGAAAGATTCTATTTTGATGAATTAGATTATGTCACCTTTCATCAGTTCCAATCTAAGAACTCAAGAGGGTGGGGGTTGATATCAGCCCAGCACTTGACCCGTTAAAACACATAAACTAATAAAATTGAGCCTAGTAGACTTAAAAAACATAAAAAGCCAAAGATACTCACACTTAAAGCCTAAACAAGATTAAATAACATTTATAATTAACTCAAATTTATATTTTATGCCATTGTAAGCCTCGAATATAAGCACAATATGTTAGGAATGCCCCAAACTCTCATTGGACACACAAAACTCGTAATAATGTTACACTAAGAAGGAAAGGTTGTCAATAAACCTTTCTCATTTGAAAATCTCTTACATTTTTCATCAAAACACTCTCTTGAAACCTAAGTCTTGTGATTGGGTAAGTTTTAGAAATAATTTCCCTTCCTTTCTTTATAAATAAAAACCCAAATCAAACCTATTAGAAGAGGAGATGATCTATAAGCATTTCCGACTTCTACAACATCCTCATTTTCTTTTCTTCACAAGAAACTTCAAAGTCTTGAGCCCTTGAACTTCCAATCTGCCCAAAAGGCTTTCTCTTATCTAATAAACTTTTTCCAACTTCAATTGAGTCTTGTTCTGGTTATTGGATATTCACAATCAAGGCTATATCTAAAAGGTAAGTTTCTCAACTTGTATCTTTAGTTTGTTTTAGATCATTATAGATTTTAGTTAGGTTTGAAGAACAAGGTAGAGGTGCGATGGATTTGGGAAAACTAATAATCAACTCCCAATAACATCTTAAACCAAGTCTAAAAGAAGTTGAGAATCTTTTTCTAAGTTTTTTGTTTTACTCTTTGTTCCTTGAAGTTTAAGCCTAAACAAATCTTATACTGTGCTGTCATAATAGCTTAAAGAGAAGGGGCACCTAACACCTTCCCTCTCCCAGTTCATTTGTATCTAAGATCTCTTGGTTGGGTGTCTTTCCCATAGAGAAATGCAGTCACTATTTTGAAAATAAAATCAAACTTTCGAAGCTGAAACAAGGGACCATTTTTGCTAAAAAATAGATGTCAACTCCTTGATCCAGCCATAAGCTTCCCAAAACTCACACCCAGTTTTGTATACATGGAAATGCTGTAATATTCCTTTTGCCTCAATTAACTCAGTGATATAGAATTTAAAAGATATTAATATAAAATAATTAATATAGTAGCATGGGTTTTTTGTTGACAGCCAAATCTTTAATTCAATCAACTTCCATCAATGTTAGAGCTTATAAAATGTTCAAGAAAATCATGACACAACTAGGCAAATGTTGGAAATTGAGACAAAGCAGCTTTGGCCATTCTATGCACTACTTTCTCATGTCATCTATGGTCTAACATGTGTGACAAAAAACGATTCTAAGGCTTAGTTTGGAAGGAGTACAAATACAAATATGTAGAGCACAAAACCTTGTATTTTGTGTCATTTTGTATGTATTTGCACTATACATATTTGTACTTGTGTCCTTTCAAAATGAGCCTTAGCAATAAATTATTCTTTTGTAGTCTGCAAAAATAATACTAATGCATGAAGGAGGAATGGAGTTATCCACCAATAAAATCTTAACAATGGTAAGGGCATCACCTTCAAGTAGAGGTGTAGATCAGGCGATGCTGGGCCGACACGACACGACCCACATGCTGCCCGTGCTACCCTCCCTTGTGATAATTTTGGAGGTCAGCTTGGCATGGCCCATGGCCTAGGCCCATGCTAGGTTAACTTTTCATTGGAAACAAATTGAAAATCTAACAAAGAAATGAAAAAAATACTTTCCAAAATACAAAATGGACAACAAGTTAGAAAAAATAGGAATTTTATTTCATTTAAAATATAAAAATTACAAAATGAAAATAAAAAAATATATTGTTGAGAAAATAACAAATAATTTAAATAAAATTGAAAAAATTACTCCATCTCCTTGATTTTAACCATCTGCTTCATCAGTTGTAATTTATCCTCAATATCCAAGAAATCTTTAAAGTAGATGTACTTTTTTTATTTCTCATGGAATGCAAATGCCTGCCCAAGTTGTGGCTCATACCACCCTTACAATTGAAGTGAAAATCAATCCAACATTTTTTGGCCAACACGACTCTTTTCCCTTCCCCTCAACCTCCTATATTTTAAATACTCTCCAAACCGGGCTAGTAAACTTACTGTTGGCTAATTGGTTTTGGGAAGAGGAGCCAAGCATTTTTTAATTCACAGGCCAAAGCCTCATAAATTGCCAAGTGTATAATAGTATGAGATGAGAGACTAGAGAGTATTAGAATTGAAAAGAGAATTGCTGAATTGGTGTGATGAGAATAGTGGACGATAGGGCTATTTATAGGAATTGAAAATAATTCAATTTCCTAAAATACCCTAAAAACTAATTGTTTTTAGTTGGGAGGGATATTTTGGTCATAGTAAAGTCATTTATCACTTTACCCAAATGCCCCCAAAGTCCCAAATTAACAGTTATATTATAGGATATAGTTGTTGGAGGGGGCATTATTGTCTTTTTTCCTCCTTCCCCAAAGCCAAAATGCATAAATACTCCTTTGTATAGCAATTTATAAGCTTATAGTTGTTGATTGAAAGAGTATTTTTGTAAAAAAGAAAAAAACCCTAAAAAGTTGAAACTAGCCATTTGGGGGAGAGTCCCCCAAGGGCCCCAACAACTAGTTTTCTCGAATGAGCTGCACTCAGCCCGCTACGAACCCATAGGTTGTGCCATGCCACATGCTGGGCTGTGTCGTGCTGACCCATAGACTTGAAACCCCTGGCCTAGAACAACCTACATGATCATGCCCTGTCTGGCATAGCCTACATGTCAACATGCCAGGCAGGTTCAAAATTGTGTTGGATCACGAGCAGAAGGCCCGATTTACATATCTACCTTCAAGGTGGCTCCTTAGCCAAAGATGATCCCTAGATAAAAGCCAATGTCTTCATCACCAAGGGTGGAGGTAGAGCAAAACAAGTTCCCTAGGAAAACAAGAAACTTCTGAAGAGTCAAGAAGAATAATTCTAGCACCCGAGTCCTGGTCTTCAACCATGCAACTGCGGCATCAATGTTGATCTTTACAACTCTGGGTTTGGGTGGGAGCCACTGTGTTGCAGAATTAAACAATCTTTCTTAAGCTCTTATTCAGGGTGATGAAACAACATTAGAGAGCACTAACTTACTATATAAGCCTGTGCCTTCTAAATCACCTCCAAAGTTTAAAAAGATTTATGTTGAAAGATTAGAGCATTGCGAGCATACCAAAGTAACATCACCCCTCTCAACAAGATATATATGACGATCACCCTATTGTCTATCCAACTTCCAAAGCCACACCAATGAATCTCCAAAACTACTCTCATAGTGTTGGGAGAATCACGAAATCAAGCAAATTATAATCAACTTTCAAAAATAGCGGAAATAATATTTTTCTCCGTCTTTGTGTGAATCTACTAGAAAACAATTTAGTAGAGCTTAAACCAAAGAACAAGCACACAAGAACACAACCAAATTTACGTGGAAACCTTCCCGGTGTGCGAAAGAAAAAAACCA